GGGGTCACCAAAGTTCATTCAAAGTCTTAACGCCCCGCTGTTATGGGACTCCGGAATGGGGGGGGGGTGCATTATTGATTATTTTTAATTTTTAAGGTACACTCGTGGGAGAGAGAGAGAGAGAGAGAGAGAGAGAGAGAGAGAGAGAGAGAGAGAGAGAAGACATCCTGTTAGAGAATTGTCTGAAATCTCATCAAAGCTTCAGTCAGACACTGCTCAGCTTGACCATTGTGTCCATTTTGTCATGGCAAGTGCAAACACACTCAAATTTAACCAAACCTCAGCAGTGTCTGAAAAAAGATTTGGATGAAAAAGAAGACTACAGATGTGAGAGAAAGTGCAAGTGTGATGATTACAAACATGAAAGATGTGTTGGAAAAGCTGGTGCTGTGCTTGGAAGAAAGATTTTCCAGCACATCAGAAGATAAAGTTTTGAAGAGTGCAGGGATATTTGACAAGACAAATGTACCTGAAACTGACAAAATGGATGAGTTGAAAGAATTTGGTGAGACACAGATAGATGACTTGATAGCTCATTATGAGACTGTGCTTCAACACCAAGGATGCTCAACACTGAAAATAAAGAAAAAGGGGCTCATGTTTCTCTCCGAAAGTCAGGCTTATTACCTCTGAGTGAGAACAAGACAAGTTCAGTCTTGAAAAAAGCAAAGAAATTTCCCAATCTGTCTCATTTGGCTCATGTATTCTCTATTTTCTTTGAAGAGGCGCATCTTCGGTGACTGAAGGCATTTGCTTTCCAGAGGTATGCTTGAAAAGATCATGCTTATATGTCCCAATGGTCTTGAGATCAGAGAATTCAATCCAGAACACTGCATTGCCAAGTGGCAAGAGATGTGTCTGACAAATAGACGTCCTGATAATACAGCACTATTCCCTGAAATCATCTTCTCTGGTGATACTTTTTAAAAACACTTGTGTTTTCCCATAAGGGACAAACAGTAAGCCAGTCTTTTTCTATATTGTGTGGGCCAACATATTTTCTATATTCTGATCATCTAGTGATTTACTTAGTTTTCTTTCATGATTTTACAAATTTTTCGATAACTATACTTTTGTTGAGAGCAAGAATAAACTGTATTGTTATTTATATAAACGTTGTGATGCACGATCCAGTATTACCAACTTTAATCAACAAAATGATCACCTATAATTTTTGCCTTGGTGCCCTAGAAAATTGCCTCGGTGCCCTCTGATTTTTAGGCCCCACCGAGGCAATTTTTGCCTGCCCTCCTGAACACGTAATTCAAGCCCTGTAGTATGCATCATATTGTCTTTTTAGATAAAAAGACATTAATGTATTACCAATTGTAATTACCTGTGAATTTTTGGAAAAAAAGACACTGTTTGACCTAATTTGATGTGTACGCGGTTAGATTCGGACACAGACAATAATAAATGTGTGTGTGTGTGATGAGAGAAAAGTGTGTGTGTGTGTATGTGTGTGTGTGTGTGTGTGTGTGTGTGTGTGTGTGTGTGTGTGTGTGTGTATGTGCGCGCGTGATTGCTTTTGTTTGTGCATATTTTGTGCATTTTCCTTTACTGTTCTTTGCACTTGGATTTCTGTAAAGCACCTAGAGCTGCGTGCAGATGGAAGTACACGTTCTAAAAATGTTCATTTTTATGGTTATGCTATTATGATTATGATTATGTTGCTTTCTTTACTTCTTCAGGGTTTTTACAGGAGAAGTCTGACACGCAAAGATCCATACGTGTGTCTGGGGTCTGGAAATTGTCCAATCGGGCCCGACAATGAACGGAAGAGATGCTGTCCAAAATGTCGCTACGACAAATGTTTGTCCGTGGGCATGAGCAAAGATGGTGAGTCTTCAGTCTGCCAGACTGGAATCAACTCACAACTCACTTGAGAAACTCAGTGCGATTCAGTGATTCAGAGTCGAAGCAAAGATTTTCTACTATTACTAGAAATCCGAATCTTAACTATTAAAATGTAACGAGCCCACGCAGCTTCTTGGTGCGACCAGGTCAGCCTGCAACTCAGTGAATCGATTCACAGTTATATTGTTACCTACATTCGGGCGAACAAGCCTGCTCGCAACTCAGTGAATCGATTCAGAGTTGTTTCTATAATAAATATATAGATCTAGGCTTGTAGCTTCAACTCAGTGTTATTAGTGTTAATGAGTTACGCCTATCCTATAAATCTGAATTAGCGTCCGTTGATGCTTTGGTGCTACGAATAGATGTGGGAGTCTCTAAGCCTAGGAAGAAAGCGAAGATTCCGAACAAGAGTAGTAGAAAATCTTGGTGAAAGGTTATAGGTTATGTAAGCTAATCTGTCGTTTAGCCATTGAGATGCTGCGTGGTTTGAAGGGGGTGAGGGTAAGGGGGTCGGTCTGTTCACTGGGATGGGTGTGAGCAGGGCGTGCGCTCGGTGACGGCGCGTGTGACGAGCGGTGGGGTTTATTAATGCATGAATGGGCAAACACGCGATGCATAGCATATCAATGGAGGTGACACGCAGTAAAGTACTTTGTGACTATTTGAGCGTTCACAGCAAACTGTTGGGGAGGCTATTTTTAACCCCTGCTGTCAGCAGCATTAGTCTTAAATCTTGGTCAACACGGTCGGGCAGTTGTGGCACTTGCGATTAGAGCCGCTCATTGCTAAGCTATGACTGGTTTGGGACTTTAGAGTGTGTATATGCATGATCAGTCCTTGGTTTAAACCTACATATTACGGGTTTGGGGGGGGGGGATAAGCTGATGAAACACAGTCGTAATTCGCTTTGAAAAAAAAGCTGCCAAGTAAATAAAACATGACGCATATAAAGTGACGTTTAAAATAAATAATTACTGTGATATCATAAACTCGGACACATCACCGTCAACCACGAAAATAATAGATGTGTTTCTTTAATTATTAGGCCTACATCTAATAGAATCTAGAGGCTGTAATAAAAATCGGACCCGTAATCTTTTTGATAATTAACTAATAGCTCCGTCATCATCATCATTTACCATGTTTGTCGCAGAAATCTACCTCTTCTAGATTTTTCTCGTCTGCTCTGCACCTGCCAATACGCTTGTTATACGTTCCTTATTTCTTGACTTTTGTGTATGCGTGTGCATTTGTGTGAGTGTGTGTGTGTGTGTGTGTGTGTGTGTGTGTGTGTGTGTGCGCGTGTGTGTGTGTGCGCGCGTGTGTGTGTGTGTGTGTGAGAGAGAGAGAGAGAGAGAGAGAGAGAGAGAGAGAGAGAGAGAGAGAGAGAGAGAGAGAGAGAGAGAGAGACTCCTTTTTAAAGGGGCTAGTGGACAAAAATGAAAGATCTTACAGTAACACTGTCGGCTTTTGGCGCATCCCATGCCAGCAGCGGGATAACAGTATGTGACGTCACTGACGTTACAGGGTGCAAGCCTCAAGCCTGTTCCCAATTCATTGGGGGCGAAATGTTCGCGCTCGCAGTTCACCTAGAATTTGAAGAAGAGCAAGGAGTCCGTGAGTTACAGTGATCTGTTTATGCGCAGTGTACGAGTGGTTGGTGGGAGCTCTGGTGTGGTTTGCTCCTGTTTCCTATCAAACGTCTATCATCCTTATCAGCAAATGACTGTTATTGTATCGATGGGCTCCCAAACATTCTCGCTTGACCAATATTAATCCAGGTCGTTTTCCCCCATAGCTCTCTTAGAAATTATGTTGTGCCCACTGCTATCAAAACAGGACGTTATTCATTTTGTTCTTTTGACTTTTATTTGCCAATATCTATCAAAACAGAAAGTTTCATTATACACGAATTCATTTTTACCTTTATTTGCCCATAGCTATCAAAACAACAGGATGATTCAAAATAATATGTGTACATGTATATATTCATTTTTACCTTTGTTTACCCACAGCTATCAAAACAGGACGTTATTCACGCGAGAAGAAATCAACGGATGTTCTGGAAGTCATGGAATTGCGAGAAAAACTGGCGCGCTCTCCGCTATCAACTACTCAGATACTAGGCATCCACTCAGAATTTGTGTCCGGGGAACTGGGAGAAGATAACGGTTGTGTTTACTGCAGAAGGCCAGAGGAATTGTTGGATTCTTCTCGTCAGAGTCGAGCTACGAGTTTAATCAGGACGGGAGGGGTAGGACATGATACTTTTGTTAGTCCGCAAGAGGGAGCGTTTGGAGAATATGTGGAGACTTCTGAGGGGTCAAGAAAAAGTCGTCCTCAACTGTCTCAAATGTCTGGTTGTTTGTCAAACAAAGGAGAAACCTTCTGTAAGAAGCTATCAGACCAGAACAGGCAGAGCCAGAAAGTGTCCTCAGATGTAAACATTCAGGATGTTGGTTATGGTAATCAAGACGCCAGATATAGTAACAATGGCAACAAATCTGCAATGACGGGAAAAAAATCAGTGCCACAGCCACGAGTGTTAGAATATGATGATCTTCCCCCGCCTTGTATGTCGTACACCTTTGTAAGCAAAGACTTGAAACGCGCACTGAAAAGAAAGCTGAATGAAGAGAAAAAGGACAGCGACAATGTTCAGAAGGCAGAGACATCAGATTCCTCTCGAAGCTCAATGGCGACGTCAGTGGAGGGGTCAGAGTCGTGTTCACCTGGGGCACCACCAACGCTGGACCTGGGAAGTTCATGGCCTGTTGATGCCCCAGCTGAAGCGGAGCCTTCGCCTGACCTTTTTGAGACAATAACAACGCAGCTTTGTGCCTCTCATCCAGCCCCCGTTTCCTTGGTAACAAGTACTCCCACGAACCCTAGGCCCAGCACAGAAGCAGGGTCGTTTTTGTCATCGTCTGATCAGTGTTATTCAAATTTATCTCCTAGTACCTCATTCAAAATTTCTTCTTCTTCTTCTTCTTCTTCTTCTTCTTCTTCTTCTTCTTCTTCTTCTTCTTCTTCTTCTTCTTCTTCTTCTTCTTCTTCTTCTTCTTCTTCTTCTTCTTCTTTTTCTTCTTCTTCCGCCCCTCCTCCTCCTCCTCCTCCTCCTCCTCCTCCCCCTCCTCCTCCTCCTCCCCTTCCTCCTCTTCCTCCACAACTGACCTCTGATGTCTCTGCTACTTTCACACATCCTCCACCACTTTACAACAATCACCCGCCGACACCAGAGAGTCTTTTGGACCTGGATCTGTCTCTGCCCCCTCTCCCTGAGACGGAAGAGATGCCAAGTTTTGAAGGGATCAAAAACAAGGCCTGCTGCTTGGGCTCTGACTTGTTCATTCCAGATGACTTTGAGTTTCCTCCGCTGTCTGCTGGAATCCATCAATCAGAATACAGGCCAGTTATGTCCCCTACATTTTTCGCTCTGGATGACGAGGTGGAGAAGAATATCTGTGATCTTAATTATGACTTTCCGGAACCGACTGGCGGGAACTCCGATGCCAGTGCTCAGGCAGAAAATGTACAAAATGTGGACAGCCATACTCCAAGTACTGAGCTGCCTATTCAGAGTCTGGAGTGGATGCACGCAGAGGTTATCCGCCAGATGAACAACAGTTACGATGAGGTGCTTAGTCTTGCAGAAGATCTGTCCAAATGCCAGCTTTATTCCTATGAGATGACACTGCTGGGCCCGATTTTTAACGAGCTTTGCATCTCCGGCCCGAAGAATAAGCCTGTTAGTGGTAGTAACTCCGTCCAGCAAAGTGATGTGGGAAGGCAAGTATCCGTGCAACATGATTCCCAATCCCACACAACCAGTCAGAAACCACCAATGCAACTTAATTCTCAATGCCACATCATCAGTCAGCAAATACATACCCATTCCCACTACCCCACAAACAGTCAGCAAGCACCGATGCAATTTAATTCTCAATATCACTCAATCAGTTATCAAACACCCACGCAATTTAACTCTCAGTATCATACAATCAGTCAGCAAACACCCCGACTGCCAGGTTCAAAATATCAATCCAACCAAACTTTTGCCCCCTGTGGTATTTCATCTCCAACCTCTTTACTGTCTGCAACGCCAAAGTCCACCACATACAGCACTGGGCTGTCGTCCCATCCCAACCATCATCGACCTTCTGGGTCACCCTCCTCCTCATCCCCGTCACCTCCACAACCGAAGCCAGCGAGATCAGAGCAGGGATTGTGCGAGGCTGATTACAACAAAACCTTGCCATGGTGTGAGTTCTCCGAAGGTCATCTCGATGATGTGGCCTCTATGCTTTTGGAGGCCCATGAGAAGCACATTGGCAAGGACATGAACTCTGTGAGCCGGGAGGAGATAGCAGAAAAGTCAGAGATCTATCTGGTGAGTACGATAAAGATTGGTTGTAAATGGCACAACTATTGGCACAATCTAGATCATGCAGACTGGCTTTTTCAGCCATACTGTTTCCTGGGGAATCCCAGCAAAAATATGAAAGTATGTCGTCGGTGTCGCAAGCAATCCACTTAAATCAGTTTGGGCACTTCCCAGAGACACCCCCCCCCCCCGAAAAAACAAAAAACAACAAACAAAACAAAAACCACACACAAAAAAACAAAAACAAAAAACATACAAACAAACAAAAAACAAGTTGTTTTTGTTTGTGTTGTTCCGATCGGGCATGAAAAGCAATGCATTGTATGCCTAGACTGGTGATGTTGAAAGGTACATATCTTTGATACAGCTTTCGTAGGTTGTAAAACTCGAAAAGTGTCTAAATTTAAACTTGTGACAGTGACGATGTACTCGATAAACTTTCTTTTTGTAGGAAACGAAATCATCTATTCTGCGTGCAAAGAAATGAGCCTTATTATAGTACAACAGAAGTTGATGTGAGCTGTTGTTAGATAGCCTGGTTTATGTTTGCTAATTAAAGGACAAGATAGATAATGGGCACGGAAGAGAAGCAAAGGGGTTCGTCCGATATTGTGGGGCAAACAGACGCCCAGTGGTTATCCTACTGAGATTTTTTTTCTTCCTCTCCTCCTCATCCTCCTCCTCCTCCACCACCACCACCATCACCACCACCTCCTCCCCGCCGCCCTATGGTTCATTAAAGCTTATGATGCTGCAGAGCTTTCCGCATCTATGACATTTTACCTACGAGATTATTGGTCTTTCTGGCTTACTAGCACCAGTAGCTTGTTTGCATAAATACATGTATTCTTACAATGTTGTGCTGGAGTTTCTTATGTTTTGGTTGACAATTTTGCCAGACAGTTGGTTCTAGAAGATCAAGTCTTACTTAACCTCTTTGACTTTAAGCTGTTGGTAAGGGGGGGGGGGGATTGCACCACTTGTGCCTCCTGGCCTTGCCCTAGATGTTGGCACCAAAAACATATGGGTAATAACTCACCCCCACCCCACCCCCGGCTTAACCTATTTCGGATACACATAAAAAAGGAAAGTTTCCCTCACTTACGATCCCGACAGTGAGGATTGCCTTGTTAGTGAGACAACTTACTGGTCTTCCTGCCCACGCCGTCTTTACTTCTCCAAGTCAAAGCCAGGTACCCATTACTGCTGTGTGGGCAGGAAGGGGCAATAAAAAAAACACACCTTGTCCGAACCGAGGCTCGAACCCGAACTTTCCGCTTCGGGGACGAGCGCACTAACCCGCTCCCGCCACCGCACCGTCTTGGGATACATGTAGCTTAGTAAAATACTCTCAAGAAAAGCGTATCCACCCTAGCTTACGTATAAAACTTAACATCCCTCCTCACTGAACTTGTAAAGATGATGGCTTATAGGTAGCAACTTAATCAGTCATGTAGATGCAGATCTAGTCTGCCTTGTTTTAGCATCTAATACTCAAAGCACGCTACCAGTCAGATTAATTGGTTTCAGTCGGATCAGTCAGATTTTCCTTTGTGGATGGGACAAAAGCCACCATTTCGGTATAAAACGATCGATTCGATTCTCGACCTTGAAAAACAACCGTGTCTGTTTTTGAAGATCACAATCGAATTTAGTTGAATCCAGTCGTATTGTGCCGAAATGGTACATGTGGCTTTTTCCAGGAGGAAAAATCTTTCCGGCCCGACTCAATCCGATGAATACGATTTGCAGTGTGCATTGAGTAATGAGTATTAGCGTCGCTGTCAGAATGAAACCATTTAGTCACGATGTAGTAGCATCAGGTGCTTGTCAATTTTCAAGCATAATGTAATTATTAGTACTAGTAATAAAAGTACCCGTTCTACGAACGGAATAATAATGAAGAAGTATTAGGAAAGTTAAGAAGAGGAAAAAGACTGAAAACAGGAAAGAAACAAAACACAAATATTTTACCTTGAATTTATCCATGTAGCACCCCTTCTTGACTACCTCTAGGGGTAAGACTTCTTTTCCCTCTTCGAAGGCGTGGCATTTTCTCCTAAAGTTCCAGCTCAATCACTTTAAAAAAAAGAGTTAGACCTACATGCCAATTGTTGCTTCCCAGAAGAACCTAATTTAGATTCTAAATCTAGCCTAGATCTCGAAGGATTATAAAGACATAGGCCAATAATTGAAAGAAGGAGCCTTGGCCCATAGATATATCTAAGTTTATTAATTCACATTTTTAACAACCGACAGGCGTCACAATTGGCCTAGATTTCTAGATCTATTCACAGTAGTAAAAATTCACTTTCAAGAATACTTTCATGATTCTTGATCTCGATCTAGATTCACCTACAGCCTAGTTCTAGACTCTAGATCTATTCACAGCAGGAAAAAATCAACGTTCAATACTTTCATCATTCTTGATCTCGATCTAAGATTCACATAGATTTAACGTAGATCTAGATCTTAGAATCTATGGCAATGAGGAGGCTGATAGGCTGGCAGGCAGTGCCGTGGTTGATGGTGAGGTGAAATTTGACAAAGGAGAAGTGTTGAAGATCCTGGAGAAAAAGTTGCGGGCTGAAGAAGGCAGGGAGACAGCAAAACTCCACGCAATCATTAGGATGTGGGAAATGGGGACAGAGAGGGGGGAAGGAAGAAAGGAACGATTATCTGGAAAGGAAAGACGTCGCCATAATCAGACAGCCACCGGAACAATCAGTATGGATACCTTGCGGGCCTTGGTGCTGGGGGGAACTGAGCACTTATGGACCTGTCCGGTGTGCAATGACGTTGTTACCCAGAACAGGTAATACAGGTAATACACGATTTCAGAGTTGTGTGCATTTTGAGAAAAAATGTATCCCCATACCCTCTATCACATGTCGAGGGGATGGGCTTCCCCCCTGTAATCCCCGCACACAGTAAACAAACACACATTTTTGAACACATATAAGAAAAAATATGTGGTCTCTTGTTACGGATCAAATCGAAATCCTGTTACAATTCAATTAATTGATAAAAGGGCGTATCGCAAGGCATCGGCTAACCCAGTACTATTACGCTATTTTATAAGTACATTCGTCAGATCTGGGTTCTCTAATCTTTAATTTTTAATCCCCACACACAATAAGCAAACACATATTCATGAACACGTATAAGAAAAAATAAGTGGTCTCTTGTTACGGATCAAATTGAAGTCCTGTTACAATTCAAGAATTGATAATAGCGCGCATTGCAATGCTTTGGCTAACCCAGCATCATACGCTATTTAATAAACACATTCGTCAGATCTGGAATTTTAAATTGTAGTCATAATTATATGTGCCTGCGCGTGGGAAGTGAAAGTGAAAGGAATTGAAAATGCTTTAAAAAACAATTATGAAAGTAACATAATTAAAGTAGGACTACATGTGCTTATAACGGTCCAAAAAGGTGTATGGGTGCGGAAATTAATGTTTCGGATGAAAATAATACGTTATTGACTACTACTGTAGCGTGCGGTCAAAAATTTGTTGCGCAACTTATTATCCAATATCTAGGCTAGTGAACTATCGAACATCTAGATGTAGATTCTCCTACTTTTGCACAATGACTTAGATCTGCATCAATTCGTCTTAACAGATGAGTATTTTTTTAAACATGTGTACACATAGGTTTTATATTATTCTAGAAATTTCTTTAAAGAAAGTTCTTTAATGAATACTAGCCCAATATTAAAAAAAAATCCCAGTCAATGGTTTCTACAGATTTTAAAAAGTTTACAGTTGGTGCTAAATCTCTTTTAAAAGCAAGTCCGTCCTTTTTTTCTACTTCTGCTGGCGACATAAAGCTAATTATTGAATGCATTGTTTTGGGAACATTAATTAGATCTAGATCTAGTGAAAAATATGTTCAGTGTAAAACAAACTTCTTGTAACAAGTTTGCTACTAAAAAATGACGTACGCCATATGCGTATGCAAAATGTGTGTGTGAAGCTAGAAGTGCTGTGAACAATCCCATCCGTATTACGAAAATTTTCACAGTTCTGTAGATCTTATATTAACTAAACTCTCTGTCTGCTTTTTCTGCTGTTGCACCCAAAAACACAACCATTTAAAACCTTAATTCCAATCCATTCAGGTTGCACAGTGAATTCTGAAACTCAAAATTACAAACTGGGTAGTAAATGTTCTACTTTTCACTCGTTTGTAAAAGCCGCTCTTGCTTTAAAAGCTATAGGGTTACTTCCGAAAACGATAGATCTTGCCCTCAAGACGCCATTGTTTTCGGTCTTCCATTCCTCACAGGTCACGTGGTACAGTGCCCGTTCTATAAGTGTAGAATTCTGTGGGTACAACCAAAGATAGTACATAACAAGATGGGCTACTCAGCCAAAAAAGTGTCCGCCGGAAGTCCGCTCTTTGCTTCAGATGGCGCTGCAGTCTGTTTTGAAGCTCTCTTTTGTTTTTCCAGAAGAAGAATAGGAATAGTACCTCCTTGCGTGCGCAGATCGACTGCTGTTCATCAGCAGTTCGGGTTCGTTCAGTGCAGAATTTGGGTTTTTAAAAAATATTTTAATGACCTCTCACATTTCATTCTAAAGTCAAATTAAACGAAGAAAACAATCATCCTTTCCTCCGGAAGAGGTTTTTTGTCAGCATAACCATTAAAAAAAAGCGTTCTTCCTAAATTTATCAAAAAACTTGCTAGTTTCACTTTGATTTTTAAAACTCAAGTAGCGTAACTCCTTTCGCAAAGGGTGTGCTTTTGCAAAGAGGGCGCCACCGAATTTTGAGGACACTTTTTTAATTGGCTCAAAGAGAGGTGTGGCCCCTCTTGTTATGTAGACTCTTTGGTACAACTGAACACAAAATGCCCTTTGGCGCAGTCGGCGCTCCGCAGTGAATATACAACGTCGAAGCAAATGATGGCGATCGCTACAAAAGGACTGAATATAACCAAAGATAGTACATAACAAGATGGGCCACTCAGCCTAAAAAGTGTCCGCCGGAAATCCGCTCTTTGCTTCAGATGGCGCTGCAGTCTGTTTTGAAGCTCTCTTTCGTTTTTCCAGAAGAAGAATAGGAATAGCACCTCCTTGCGTGCGCAGACCGACTGCTGTTCATCAGCAGTTCGGGTTCGTTCAGTGCTGAGTTTTAGGGTCTTTTTTATGCTTTAATGACCCCTCGCCTTTCATTCTAAAGCTAAATTAAACGAAGAAAACAATCACCCTTTCCTCCGGAAGAGGTTTTTTTGTCAGCGTAACCATTAAAAAAAAGCGTTCTTCCGAAATTTATTAAAAAACTTGCTAGTTTCACTTTGATTTTTTAAACTCAAGTAGGTAACTCTGTTCGCAAATGGTGCGCATTTGCGAAGAGGGCGCCACCGAATTTTTGAGGACACTTTTTTAATTGGCTCAAAGAGAGAAGTGGCCCCTCTTGTTATGTAGACTCTTTGATATAACTTAAACTGGGCTTTCTTCTTACACATTTGATCTTAATGAAAATACAATAGTGCAACACTACGTTTCAAGTTATGGGCACTGGCAAAGTTTCATATTTTTTCATTTTATGGTTTTTGAGAATATACTGTTCGCAAAATTTGGCCTTAGCTCCATTAGTAGTAAGATAATCCATGGTTATTTGTATTGCGATTGGTGAAAACAATACCCATATATCTTGGCTTCTAGCGTTTAAGCGTCCTTGAAAAACTACACATTTACGGTTTTTTGTGGCTTTGGATTAATGGTTTACGCAGATATGTTATTTTCAAAGCCATAAAATGTGTTTCGAAATATTGATATAATTGCCCACCGGACGGGAAAATGCCAATTCTTTTATATAATTATTTTGACGAGCGACTGATTTCACTAAGATGCTACCCAAAAATAGATCTACCCACTGATCCAGTGCACACTGCTAATTGGATTCATTGGTTGGAAGTTGGAGAAGGGACCAGCGGAAGCGGCGAGTGGTAGGTATAACTAACCGGCTATCGTTCACGTCGACTTCTCCTCCTCTAGAAACGTATAACAAATAAGTCTAGTCGATAAAAATGGCATGGTTTAGATGATTTTTACCAGTACAAAAACTCAATCCTTCTGCTCTTTGGAGCAAATAAGTCGACGACTCTTTCCATGAACATTTCAATTTAACATATGTATATATCTTTATGGACAGACAGAATCGTTAACGTGTTAAGGCAATCTTCATCCATTGACGAGCGTGTAAAGTTTGTGACAAGCTGCTTAAGGTGAGCAGCTCTCTGTCCCGATTATACACATTTAAATGTCAGTCTGAATTTCCATACACTGACTGAAGTTATTAAGAAGGAACTCTACTAGAAAGCAAACTGAACGTGAGAAGTAACCAACTCTTACTCCTGGTCCTGCCCCCCCCCCCCTTCCTGTGGATTCAGAGATGGGATATATAAATACTATAAATAGACCCACTGTCTCGTCTGCTGGATGAGAAACCCCTCCAATGACGAAATGTCCCTCATGTACCCCAACCCTCTGGGGTCCATGTGCACCATCTCCTTTGTGGTATCTCCCTTATCTTCTTCTTTCTTTCTTCCTTCTTCTATCTCTTTTTCCACCAATAACCTCTTGTGGAGTAAAACTAAAGGTCGTCCATCCCAAAGAGTGGGCACCTCGTTGACCGTGAGGTGTGACCTGTACGTAGGGAAACCGAGCACATGGTGGTTGAGATTAGATCATCAGTCTGCGGACTGTCCCTTGCCAACCCTTTGGCCAAGGGTTTTCTCTTAAACGGGAGAGTTGCAAGGCCCTTGCCACTCAATCGGTAGGGAGCTGGAACCCTTCAGTCCCTGGGTCAATCTTGACGGGAGGGTCCCGTACACTCTCGTGGACAGTATTACTCCAGGGTAGCCCTGGCAGAGCTCCGGCTATTCGTGGTACAGCTCCGGCTATTCTAGCAATGTTGGGCTCGATGGCAGGCTGGAAGCCCAGGAGTCGAATCAACAATAAAATTCACATGAAATCAAAACTTATCAAAGACTTTACTTCAGCTTCTAAGCATCTAAAAAGTCTCTGCTCGCGGAAGCGGGTGCGGCCGCTTAGCTGAGCAAATCTATCCTCACGGAAAACGGACCTTTACGGCTGCTTCTGGCCTCCCGCCTCCCGGGGTGTTTCGGGAGCGGCCGTACGTGACCATCTGCTAAGGCGAGCAGAAGAAGATTAGAGATCTGAATTCAAGACAGGAGATGCACTAAGACAGGCACTAGGATGCATCCCAACGAATGTACTGAGGCTGTTCTCTGATGCACTCCATGTCAAGTGTGCAACGGAAAAAGGGAGTGATGAGTCTCCTGGATGCCACGACCTTCAGTTGTATTCAATGTAAACCCGAGCGATACCAGAAGTTCAACAGCTCGAAGGGTGTTGTCAGCAGCCATGAGCTGAAAGGCTGCTCCATGGAAGATAGTGTGGCGAACTGCAAAAGTGTGGTCGACGCCAGACGCCAGCCAGATTGTTCTTCGAGGTTGGGGGGGGTTCACCCTTGAAGCGAACACGATTGTTCCTACTTTCGATTCGTGCAGCCTTCCAGCCACTGTTCGGGCATTATACTTGATCTTAGACGCTCGACACTCTTGCCACGGCCAGCACACAGCGTTCAGCAAGGAGTGTCCGACTTGGCTTCAAGAAAGCGCCATTTAAGAACGCAAGGCGTGGAATGGCATCCCAGTAAAGGAGGCCCGTAAAACTGTCTTTCCGGCACGTTGTGACCCCGGCCCTGGCCTGGATACGCAAAGGCAGTCCGGCCGGTCACGAGGTCGGCCAGTACTTCTTCTGCCGATCCCCCATAGTCCGTGATCAACACGCAAAACTGTACTAAAAGCGAAGAAGGGCCCTCCTACCCCCCCTTTTTTTTTATCGCGGTCGACAGACCCAAAGCCGCAGCTATGCCAAAAAAGGCCTCTCCTACCTCTGTGGCACCCACCTTTGAGGTCACCTCCCTGCCTTCGTGGGCAATTTTCTCAAGAACCGTTCTTCCCGGTTCGAGTCGGATCCTCCCTTTCAGATCCCCACCAACAAGAGGGAGATGTTCCTCTGGGAGGCATTCTTTCTCCTCTTCGAAATCAAAATCAATTACATGTACATCGCTCAGACCCTCCAAAACAACATAGGCAGCTCGTTATATGTCGACGACTTTTTGATACGTTGCCTTACCAAAAATCCTCAACTAAGATCTAGGCCTATGAAAAGACTGGCACAAACTTGAAAAATGGACAAACTTTGTTTTGACTTTGGAGAGACCCGAAGAAAATATTATAAATATAGAAATTTGAAAGAACTTTTCTCCGTCGTTGATCTCAACAGAATTCTCGATTTTATTAAGGCCATTTGCCTTTACAGTAAAATGTAAATGTTGTTATTTAAAATAAATGTAAATTGTTGTTGTTTTCACGACGAAACATTTTGCCGTAAAAGATTTTAAAACTTTTAAACTGACCTTCAAACGAAATGAAGCCGAGCTGTGAACTGCTGTGAATGCAATCTACTTGTGTTTAGCTCGCGTTATGACCTTTTACATGTATAATTGTGAGCGCCGCAAAACTTTTACTAACCCAAACTAAAAAACAACGAACAAAGGAAGCTAAACTAATTCGCCAATAATAATTCTAGAGAGCAATTAATGTCGCAAGGGTTTTTTTAATCTCTTGTTCACAATAGTAAAAGGAAGAGGAGGGAGATGAGGAGGCCTGGAAGAGAAAAGGAAGACAATCTAACTACTTCCATTAAAAATCTGGAAAAGAATAAGCTAAGAATATTCTGAACGTACATGCACATGGCTGATGAGAACTGGTGAACTATGAAATACGTCAATAAATAAACCAAACGAAGTGAAGAAAAAAGAATTACTTCAATGTACAAATTAATTAAGGGTTTTTTGGTGTGTTTAAAATTTAAATTTTTTTTTTTTACCTCGGATTCCACAGAAACTTTGTCGTCTCAAGGAGCGTGTGTTTGGCAAGCACACATTATTTCACAATAAGGACGAGTACTTCGAGATCCTGGAGAACACAGGTGTGGACATCGACGGTCGTAAGGAGTGGATGGGGGTCAATGTCCAGGTCACCAACGATGTCCTCTTCAAGGTCGTCCGCTTCATCAAGTCTGTGCCAGGATTTCTGGACCTGTGTAAAGACGACAGAATTGTCCTTTGTCGATGTGAGTCGGGGATAATGATGATGATGATAATAATAATAATAATAATAATAATAATTAATAATAATAATAATAATTATTATAATTATAATTATAATAGTAATATATAGTACTACTACTACTACTACTACTACTACTACTACTACTACTACTACTACTACTACTACTACTACTACTACTACTACTACCACTACTACTACTACTACTACTACTACTACTACTACTACTACTACTACTACTACTACTAATAATAATGACAACATAACAACAGCAACAACAACAATAATAATAGTTATACTACTACTACTACTACTACTACTACTACTACTACTACTACTACTACTACTACTACTACTTGTGATGATGATGATGATGATGATGATGATGATGATGATGATGATGATGATGATGATGATGATGATGATGATGATGATAATAATAATGATAATAATATTAATGATAATAATAATAAATGGCTAATTGCAACACTATGGCGATTCTCTACCAGTGCCTGTAGTCTAATTGTCAGGCTCTTTGCACAGTTGTACGTTCATTTCTCGTGTGGAGAGGCTACTTTATCGAGTGCATCTGTTTGTCTGTTGGGATGTTGTTTGTATCCTCTTCAGCCTGGGTTGGTCCTGCCAGTTGGGTGGAAGCAGCTTGCCTTCTGAATGATTTAATTTGTTTTTCTGTCACCGTGGTTTTATGCATCCCGCATACTTTAGCAAAATTTGATCATTCTTTGCATAATTACTGATTATTTTCCTTTATAATTCTTTGTTAAAACTAACAGAATCGCATAATTTGACATTTTTGGGCACAGTTTGCATAATTTCCGATTTTTTTCATAAAACCGCGAGGACAGGTGTTTAGAAGGGGGGGGGGGGGTTCAGGGTTTTTTTTCAAACGTTATCTCTTTTTTCAGCATCCTTCATTGACTGTTTTGTCCTGGGGAGTTTTCGTGGTTTTGACATCCGGAACAACATCATAATCAATGAGTTGAACCAAGCCACCAATTATGAAGAAATCCTCGGCATCTTTCCAGAGTTTGACGAGAACATACGTTTCTACGTGGCCTTTATCCGGCGAATTCAAGCTATGGACCTCACTCGTGAAGAAATTGTTTTATTGAAGGCTATTTGCATAACGTCGCCAGGTGCGCTTTTGTTTCTGTAACTTCCACCTTTGTATTGATTAGCTTCCTTTTTTTTCTTGCAGTGACTTCCACTTAAACATCGTGTTGCTTCTTCTTTTTTTCCCCACAATAACTTCCACTTTAGTACTTTAGCATTGTGTAGCTTCTGTGTCATACTGCATCTTTTTCTGTATGTCCATCCTGCTTCTTCTTTGCAAGAAATGATTTTTTTGTGTCGATATAAACAGATTAGATTGTCCTGAAAGTGTATGGCAAGCACTTTACCTTCAGACTGTTCCCCCCCCCCCAAACACACACACAAACACCACCACAAGATGTGAGCTAAGGGCTAAAGAGTGCCACAAAAAGTTCGTACTTCCTTTCTTTCCCAATTGTATTAGAACGTACATAATGATCTATCTTGCTGGCCTTCTCCCCGCACTAAATGATCATTATTAAGAAAAACTGTTATCATGCCAATGCGGGACTCTTTACTCAAAAACCATTATCGCGTCCACGTGCTTCTCTTTACTCAAAAGATCATTGCCAATGTCCGTCTCTTTACTAAAAATCATCATGTCAATGTGCTTCTCTTTGCTCAAAAGATCAGTATCATGTCAATGTGGTTCTCTTTACTTAAAAGATCAGTTCCCAGCCTGCACAAAGAGAATGGCACCACATTGGCCATGTGGAGCCCATATCCAGCCCATGCCTAGCACAGATGCACCCTATATGTTTTTGACAAACCCACAAGGGCCCCATGTCTGTCCCACTCGTTTTTACACACAAGACACGGTCATTGCTTGGTATACAGATGTGCCAAACAGAAACATCTGGTATGTTCGACCCTGCCCCACGCCTGGGCCGGATGAAGCCTGCATGTTCCTGGTAATCCCACATGGTTCCCATGTCCAGCCCACATGTCCCCCATGTCCAGCCCACATGTCCCCCATGTCCAGCCCATATATTCCTGACCAGGCCAATCTGGGCGAGCCCAAAATGTATGGGCCTTGAACCGTCTAGCCCATGCCAGCCCATAAGCTTCTGACAAGCCCATGTCTTCCTCACTCACTAACACCACGCAGTACCATACCGTGTATAACAAGATGCACTATAATACATTTTTGCTTACATTGATTCAAGTAATTTAGAGGGCCAGCTGCTTCCAATCTGCTTCTCAGAGCCATTCCAGGCACTGTAAGGTAAACTATTCAAGCAAAAAGTGATAAAATATGAATACAATGTATACACATGTCCCTACACGGGAACCGATTCAAACTAGGGTGCCCCACCCATTTCAGACAGACAAAATATAAACGCCTACTTTGTAGAAAGAAACACCTGTTTCCTTGGAAGTATACGTCGACCTGTATAAAGCCAGGCTATGGAAAGAGCTATTAAAAAAAAGAAATCGACTCTCTGGGATTGTCTGTAATTACAGACAAAGAAGAAGAGAAAAAAAGGAAAGAAAGAAATGGAGAAAAAGAAGTTAATCGTTTTGATAGGTAATACATCATTTATAAGTTTGAATATAAAATACAAAGAGGGGGAAAACAACAATTCATATATGTACTAACACTTCTTTTATTTTTAATTAGACAAAATAATTATTATATGCTATTTTTTTAAATAACATGTTCCTTGACAGTGACGTAAAACCTCCCTCTGATTCCGATCTTTGCAATGAAAAGGGGTGGTCGGGAAACGTTCCTTTCACGCGGGCTAATTCACCGAAGATACAGCATCTGAAAGGAGG